CCTCTCTCAATACCTTTTCAATCTCTATGCAGAATAGATCAGGTGGTAGGTTGGGATTTATGAGGAGGAATGTGGCATCAGGATTGGAGGAACTTTCATCAACAACCTGCATTATGCATATGACACAATCTTGACTGCCGAAATTGAAGAGGACATGAGGCATTTGTTGCAAAAGGTCAAGGACTGTAGTCTGCAATACGAATTGAAGCTCAGCATCAAGAAAACAAAGATTCTTGAGGAGCAATCTCCTCCTGTACCAGTCAGATCCGATTTGATGGTACACACACACAAAATACTAAAATAAAATTTAAAAAAAAAGTTTTAAAAAAATTAAAAAAAAGAAAACAAAGATTCTTGATGCGCTCTGGTGGCCTAGTGGCAAGAAGCTGCACTGTAATCTCAGAGGCACACGGTTCGAATCCACCAGATGCTCTGCTGGAGAAGGAAGGGCAATCTCCTGTACCAGTCATATCTGATTTAACGGTACACACAAAAATTAATGAAATGAAATGAAATTTTTAAAAAAAAGAAAACAAAGACGCTCACCAGTGGGCCAATAGGCAGCTTCATGATGAATGGAGAAGAGATCTAGATTGCAAATAACTTCAGTGTGTTTGGTTTTACAATCAATACTTTTGGCACCAGTAGTCAGGAAATCAAAAGATAAATTGCACTAGGAAAGTCTGCTTTTAGAGACTTTTCCAGAATACTGAAGAGCAACAATGTCAGTCTGAAGACTAGGATGCACCTGATCCAAGTCATGGTCTGCACAATTACTTGCTATGCTTCAGAGAACTGGCCAATGACTAGGATGACAGAAGAAGAATTTATGCCTTTGAGTTGTGGTGTTGGAAAAGAGTGTTAAACATGCTGTGGACTGCCAGAGGAGCAAACAGGTCTGTCCTGGAGAAGGTGAAACCAGGTTTGCTCCCTGGAGGCAAGGATTTTGAGGCTCCATCTCACATACTTTGGGAACATAGCCAGCAGAGATCAGTCTTTAAAAAGGGACATCATGCTTGGAAGGATGGAGGAACAGAGCAAGAGAGAAAGACCCATGATAATATGGATTGACTCAGTGGCTGGAGCAATTGGATTAGGTCTATTGGAGATGATGAGATTGGCTCAGAATAGGGCAGGTTTCAGAGGTAATTTACAAAAGGTTGCTATGCATCTCAAGCGACATGATGGCACATAACTACAATTCATGGTTTACCTCTTCCATGGGTAGCCTAGTGGTGAGAAGTTGTAATGCAATCCCAGAGGAAGGTGGTTTGAATCCACCAGCTTTTCCATGGGAAAAAGTTAGGCAATCTCCTCCTGTGTGAGTAACTGTCTCTGAAAACCCACCATAGTGTTAGCTATGTAGTTCAGTTCCAACTCAAAGTACATAGTGACAACATGTCTTATCTTATCAAGAACAGCTTAAAGAATACACCTTCCAGATAGAACTATGACATTCATGAGTAAAAGGCTATTTGAACTACAGCAGATTGCCTATCTAATAAATGAATTTTGAAAAACCTGTTTGATGGTAAACTTTAAGAGTTAAATTTTATTTGTGACTACAAGATATCCTAGCTCTCCTGGTTAATGTAGAGCCCAATTAGCAGCATCCTGCCCCCTCCAGAATTCAAAATAGATGAGAGAGCATGGAAAAGAAGAGTTCAGTTGTCAACTTTATTTCAAATATATTTGAGAAATCATTGTTGAGGATGGTTTTGGCTAGTGGCCATACTCAGTGAAAACAGAATAATCAGAGATGAGGCTAAACATACAAAACAGGGCTGTTCCATAAGATGAGATGCAGTTGAACACATTCTGAAAAAGGAAGTATCGTATGAACAAGAGCAAAAGGTAATAAAGGAAGAGGTTCAAGATACGTTGAAGACACTGACAAAAAATAAGGTTCAAGGAATAGACAGGATAGCAACTGACAATTTTCAACTAGCAAATGCCATTCTGGATGGGCTGACCAGTCTATGCCAGAAAAATTGGAAGACAGCTGCCTGGCCAACAGATGGGAAGAGATTCATTATTGTTCCCAAGCCCAAGAAAGGTGATCCTATGGGATATGGAAATTGTTGAACAATATTATTGATATCACATTAAATCAAAATATTGTTGAAGATCATCCAAAACAAGCTAGAACAGTACATTAACAGGGATCTGTCAGAAGCTCAAACTAGGTTTAAAAGAGGCCTCAGCACCAGCAATATTTTTACTGATCTCAGAAGGTTCCTGGCTGAAAGCAAAGAATACCAGAAAAATGTCTATGTTTTATTGGCTATACAAAGACATTTGACTAAAAAAAAAATTTTAAAATTTTAAAAACCAAGGCCTTTTGCTTTTTTGGTTATTAAAAAAACTTTGGCTAACATTAAGAATAATGAGAATCTCAGACCATTTAATTATGCTCGTATGAATACTATAATTAGACCAAAAATCTGTACTCCAAATGAAGTAAGGGAACACAATTTTTAAAATCAGGAAGGCTGTGTGTCATGGATGTATCCTTTTTCCACACCTACTCAATTTATATGCTGAGCAGAAAATTGGCGAAACTGGTCTCTATGAAGAGGAGTGTGACATCAGGATCAGAAGATTCATCAACGACCTGTGTTATTGCAGATGACACAACCTTGCTTACTGAAAGTGAGATCTTGATAAACGTGCTGCTGAATATCAAGGACTACAACCTTCAATATGCATCATATCTCAACATTAAGAAAATAAAGATCCTTACCAGTAGACCAATAGGCAGCATCATGATAGATGAAGAAAGAATTGAAGTTGTCATTGACTTCATCTTGCTTGGATCAACAATAAACCCTTGAAACAAGCAGTCAGAAGATAAGGAGACATATTGCTTTGGACAAGTCTAATGTTGGGTATCTCTCCAAAATATTCAAGAGCAATGGTGTCAGTCTAAAGACTCAAGTATGTTTGATTCAAGCCATGGTCTTTTCAATCACTTATTATTATTATGCATCTGAGAGATAGACAATGAAAAAGGATGGCAGAAGAATTGATGCCTTTGACTTGCGGTGTTGGAAAATAGCATTGAGCATCCGTGGACTGTCAAAAAACCAAATAGATATGTCCCGGAGAAAGTTAATCCAAAATGCTTTTTGGAGGCAAAGATGGTGAGGGTTCAGTTCTCATACTTTGGGCATGTTGCTAGAAGTTATTCTTTAGAAGGGACATCATGCTTGGAAAAATGGAGGGTCAGTGGAAGAAAGACCCTCAATCAGATGGATAGACACAGTGACTGCAGCAATGGCCTTAAATGGGCCAGAGTTGATGAGGGCTGCACAGGATCAGACAGGGTTAAAATCTGTTATTCATAAGTTCACGGTAAGTAATTCTCAACCCAATGGAAACTAACAACAACATGCTGACCCAGAAGATAAAGTGGTATTTCCAGCAATTTTCTACCCAATTAAAATCATTTCTATTTACTCCCAACTCCTAATAAACCAGATTGCCCTCAAATAGTCACATGAGATAACTATTTATTAGAAACTTCTAACTTCTTTAGCATTTCTGTTATCCTGACTTCCCTTCCAAAGTCCTCTATAAAATGTAAACTCTGTTTCTTTTGTTACCTTTGATTTTGTATGATTAGGTATTATTGTCATGACTTGAGTCCAGAAGGAAGGCTGCAGAGTGGAGTGGACTTGGGGGGAGGGATTGTATAACAATGAAAGAGTTTTTCTTTTACTTTTCAGAGAAGAGCTAACTGGCGGGGAGGGGTGGGCAGGGAGAAAAGTATAACAAATTAATGAATGGAAATTCAAAATCTCTGTAAGTTTTCATTAAAACTAATAATAATTAAAAATGTGTTTGGATATTTTATAAGCTAAATTCTAGAAGAATACAGATACAGCAAGGAAATAAATAACAAACGGAAAAATGAAAGATATTTTTTAACTGCCACAGCAGACTTCAAAGACCCTGAGGGCAAGAACAACCTTAAATCTTTTCAGTGAACAACCTACCTTCCTACCTTCCTTATTGTCACCTCTCTATCTTATCTCTCACTCATCCTCACTAGAAATGAGGACCAAGGGTCTTAAGCCAGTGATTAGGCAAAGGCCTAAACTACTTGTCCACAGTGTGCCATCAAGTCAGAAACAATCCGTATTTGACCCTCCAGTGGGTTTTCAGATGCAGTTAATTGCAGGGGAGGAGATTACCTATACATCTCTCATGGAGCAGCTGGTGGACTCACATCATATGCCTTTGTGATTGAAGCACAGCTTCTTACCACTAGGCCACCAGAGCTCAAGGGACAGGAATATTTTTTAAAAAGAAAGATCTATAGTATGCATTTGGAAACAAACAGGATGGGGGCAAAGAGAACACAAGTTTTAAAGACTCATTAATTTGTCAGCCAAATTAATTCCAATCATTTTTATTGAGAAAAAAAAAGATACAAGAAAGAGAAGATAACACGGATCTACCTTCCGTGGAAATGGACCTCAGTAGCTTATAAAGTAAAAGGGGGAAAAAAAACCAAAACAGCTATAACTCCATGAGTACACAATGAAGCAGTCTGAACAACTCAGGAAGGCAATGTTGCTTCCATTGGTTAGTTGGACAAGGTTTCCTGAGGAAACAGCATCTCTGTTGGGCATAGAAGCCCAGAGAGTCATCCAGGTAGGACACAGAAATAACATTACAAAAGGTCAGCAGTAATGTGGATACCATGATTCTTGCACAATTATATTTCATCTACTTTGACAAACTATATACTTAAACAGAGACAGCAGAAATTTTGAAGTAAGAAGGCATGTTAATATAACTATTGGGTGGTGTATGCCATCTTGCATCTACTCTGAGAGTATTCTTTTTCACAGATTATCACTTATTAAATCTGAATATGTCTTAAAACTGGTACTGGCTAGTAATAAATTTACATGGTTTCATTACTTTTTTTTTTTTTGGCTAATGGATAATTCTGCTTCTTCAGCTTTTGGACTTCCTTATGTGGCCACAGCTCACAGGATACCATTATATGACCTGTTAAGGACACAAAAATATTTAAAGGAAAAAAAAATCACTCAGATTGTATAACAATGAAAGAATTTTTCTCTTACTTTTCAAAGAGAAGAATGAACTGGAGGGGAGGGATAGGTAGGGAGAAAAGTGCAACAATGAATGAATGGAAATACAAAATCTCTGTAAATTTTCATTAACATTATAATAATAATTTAAAAAAAAAATCACTCAGAATAAAGGATATGGGAGTGGAGCAGAAATCAGAAAAGGTCTGGTGGAAAGGCCAAGGCTAAGCAGTAGCAAGCATGGAAAATAATGAGAGAGGTGAAATTGAATGGATACATTAACAAATTAAAACTCACCAGCGCCTCATAAACCGTAATGCAAGTCCTATCAAAAGGAGTGAGGCCGGGACTATTATTGCCAAAGAGATCAAGCCAGTCGAGATAGGATGTCCTAGTAATTGAGCAATGGGACAAAAGTAAATCACATTATAATCCCATTCTCTATTAGAGCACTTAACATCCCATGGACTTACAAAAGAACAAACAAATATGTTTTGGAAAGGGTCCAGCAGGAATGTTCTTTGGAGGCAAAGATGATGAGGCTTCGCTTCACATACTTTGGGCATATTGCTAGGAGGGGCTATTCTTTGGATTCTCCAAAAGGTGGAGGGTTGGTGAAGGAGAGGAAGACCCTTGACCAGGTGGATTGACATGGTGACTGCTGCAATGGGCTCTTATGTGTCAGGAAGTGTAAGTATGGCATAGGATAGGACAGAGTTCAGATCTGTTGTTCATAGGGTCTCTATGGGTTGTACTTGACTCAACAGCACCTAACAACAACAGCAATTAGTTTTCCAACCAACTTTGTCCACCTGAGTGTCTGCACCACCAACCCCTTGTATCCAGTGTAAGGTGACATTCTGACCTCCTTTCTCATATTCCAGGACATTTTCTATCCTTTTTCCTCTCCCTGGTATCTCTGCAATTGAATCTATAAATTTTTCCTTGTTGCTTCTTCTATGCCTTAGATAACTAGTTTATACCTGCTTATCTCAGAGAACATAGACAGTCTTTCTCTCACTCACTTGCACATTTACTCTCATTCACTCATGCTTGCTCGCTCGCTCTCTCTCTCCCCCCCTCCCCTTTCCCTCTCTTTCGTCTCTCTCTCCTGCACGTGTCTCGATCTACTCCTATCTCTGATCACTCAGCCCCCACACCATTCCTAGCTTCTCTTCCTATGTTTGAGGAGCATCTCTTCCTATCTCTGGTGACTCTAGGTTGTTCTCACATTCTCACCCCAGTAGAGGACGATGTCCTCGCCACCTAGACTGCTGTGCTTCACTCTGCAAGACAGGCCAGCAGCCTCTCCAGTCGCCACATCCAGGGTAACTCGGAGGTACCAGGTCCCATCAGCATTGGGTAAGACGTCACCTCGATGAGTACCCCGCTGCTCGTTCTCCCCCCGCATCCACATCACCCACATGGGCTTCGGGTAGAATCCTGAAACATGGCACACCAGCAGCAGATGGCCAGGACCAGGAGAGGGGCCACTGGAAAGCCAGGCCACAGGCTTCTCTGAAGCAATAAGAGAATTTAGATTAGGACTTCTGTTCAGAGTATAGAGACTCAGATCCCAAGTTTGGACAATGACCTTTCAACACAAAGGAAACCAAATATTTTGTCCACTAAACCTGCCTGTCTCTTGAGTACCCTTCTACTCTTATTCTTAGCTTAAGTGAAAGAGTTAATGGTAGCAGAGGAGCACCATGGTGAGAGGATAAGACAAACCTTGTCTTTGAAGATCTGCCTTCCCTGCATCAAGAACACCCAAGAGATATCGAGGACAATCTTTGAGGAGAAGTTTCTCAATGGCTTCACGGATCCCTTGGTACTGCTTGGCTAGGTCACAAAACTTCTTTGCCCTCCAGCCCCCCTCTGGGGCAGGTGCACATGAACGATTCTGAGCACTAGCAAAATTAACTCCTCCTAGGGCTCCCCTCAGGAAACTTTTAGTGCCCCCCTCAGGGCGCAGCTCACAGCCTCCTGTGGCCTGGACTTCAAATGGATCTGGAAAGTAGAAAAGAAATGGTAATTAATTGTTGTTGTTGTTGTGTACAGTGGAATCAGAACCAACCTATGGCTGACCTTCTGACAGGTTTTCAAAGGCAATTAATCACATGGGAGAGGACTGCCCATCTTTCTAGCAAATTTTTTTTTTAAAAAGTCCTAAGAAGGAGACCTCAAATTTTTAGAGGGAAGAAATATCTTGGTTATAAAATGCTGACTAGAAAGTCAATGGTAACATTTAAAGCATTTCAGAGCAATAAGCATGTCATCAATGGGATGTTGGGATTGCTGTGTCAATGCATGGTGGGTAAAAATAGGTACTGACTAGGAGGGATTGGAGTGAGGGAGTTAGGCAAAATGTAAGAATTATATTGAGAGAAGTGTTAGAAGAGAGTAGGTGTGATGTGTTTGGAGGAGCAGGGCACACTAAGACAGGCAGGCAGAGGGTAGGAAAGTGAAGGTTGGAAAATTGAAAGAGAAGTAAATTTCACACTAGACAAAGCAAAAGATGATTCAAAAGCAGGGCCTCATCTATTAACAAAGAGATCAGGAGATCCCAAGATTTGCAGTTGCGAGATAATCTCTAGAATACACTAGAGAAGTGAGTACAGTGGAGAAAGGAGTACCAGGAGTAACAGCCTGAATAGAGTAAGAAGGTCATTTCAAACCTCGTCAGGACTCACATTCCATCTGGAATTGATCTGCAAATTCCCGTACTTCTCGAAGAAATCCAGTCTGGTAAAGTTGAAATATTTCCACCATTTCAGATACTTCCTCATCACTGAAGTTGCCCTTGGACCAGGGCTTCAGGAAAATAGGAGTCTCTGAGTCACTATTCCAACCATGAATCTGCACATCACCTAACCAGCCGGAGCCTTGAAAGTTTGCCCAGGTGCTATTAGCAAAGGATGTGATCTGGATGAGGTAGAAAGAAGTTGGTCCCTGAAAGCCTGTAATAGATAGACAGGAAGAATTAGAAGGGGAGACATGGGAAGAAATGAAAGAAAATGAAAGTTGACAAAAAGACAACAAGAACAAGAGACTGAAGAGCTCAGGAAGTCTAAGACATTTGCCTGGCTCAGCATCTCAGGCTCCAGCCTGAACTTTCAAAGAAGCCGAGATGATAGTGGTGCCCTAACTTTTACTGTCTGAATGCACATGGATCAGTGCAGAATGCTTTTACCCACACCCTCTTACTCTGATGGAAGGAGCAGCCAGAATTACGCTTACCATCCTCACTGCCACCATCATGGAAAAGAACTGCCAACAATAGAAGCAACATTGCACTGAGAGATAGAATTGACTCTCAGGCCTGAAGCTTGGTCTCTGATTTCAGCAAAATCTCTCTTCAAAATGATAGTTTCTCCACCAAGCCCACTGTATATATCAGAACAAAGCTGTGCCTCCTACAGCTCTGATCTTCCCACTCAGCTTCTCATTTCCCCATAGTTCTGACTTTTATCAGACTTTCCCTGGCTTCTATCTTCAATCCCAGTTCTTATGTTATTCCTACATTTAAAAAAAAAAAGCACTACATGATTCTCAAACATTCCCAAACCTTCCCTGAAGGTTCCTGTCTTCCACAGCACTCTGCTAACATCTTTCCAGTGTTCTCAGCATCGTCTTTCTTACTTCAGCCCTTTATCCTAACGTTCCTAATGCCATATTTCTTGTTTTGCATTGATTCCTTTCTTAAACTTAATTTCTACTTTAGCAAAATCTTCTATGATTTCCCATTGTAGTAATGTAAGGTTAAGTGAATTTACTGACTAAATTGCTTTGAGTAACAAGGACCTCTTAACAATATGAGGTCTTCCAACCCTGGAACACAAAATATATTTTCACTTATTTAGGTCTTTAATTCTTCTCAGTAGAATTTTGTAGCTTTCAAGGTACAATTCTTTCATTACCATGGTTAAATGTATTCCTAACTATTTATCATTTTAGATGCTACTTTTTATGGAATTATATTTTTTCCTTTTCAGAGTGTTGATTGCCAATGTATAAAAATATAACTCATTCCCTGTGTTCATCTTGCAAGTTTGATGCATTCATTTATTAATGCTAGTTATTTTTCCTACTAAAACCTTGAATCACATTTTCTTTGAAAGCCATGATGTCTTTTTGAGGACAAAGGTGTATCTGATCCAGACTTGAAATACATCTGAAAGCTGGACAATGAATAAGGATGACCAAAGGGGAATTGATACCTTTGAGCTGTGGTGTTGGAAAAGAATACTGAAGATCCCATGGGCTGCCAAAAGAACAAACAAATATGTCTTGAAGAAAGTGCAGCCAGAGTGTTCTTTGGAGGCAAAGATGATAAAACTTCATTTCACATACTTCAGGCATGTTGCTATGAGAAGATATTCCTTGGAGAAAGAAAATATGGTTGGAAAGGCAAATGGTCACCAAAGGAGAGGCAGACCCTCAATCAGGTGAGTTGACACAGTGATTACCACAAGGGGCTCTAATGTGTGAGGAATTGTAAGGATGGTGCAGGATCAGGTGGCATTCAGATCTATTGTTCATGGGATTGTTATGGGTCATGCTTGACTTGATGGCACCTAATAACAACAACAAGTTATGTATTGGTGGATTCCTTGAGACTTTACATATGTAAGAAAATACTTTGAAAGTAGGAATGGCATCCACTTCCTAAACATGCTTCTGAAAACTCTATTCATTTTAATAAATGATACTAGTTATAGAAAGGCTTCAGGTCTTTTGTTCGTAGGGTTGCTATGAGTTGTGCTTGACTCGATGGCAATCAACAACAACAAGGAAATACTACATGGCTCAAAATTAGGAAGAGTGTACATCAGGGAGCATTCTATCTCTATATCTTTTCTATCTATATGCGGGACAGATAATTCAGGAAGCTGGACTTTATGAGGAGAAATATGACATCAGGTTTGAAGGAAGGCTCATCAACAACCTGTATTATACAGATGACAAAACCTTTCTTGCTGAAACTGAAGAGGACCTTAGGCATTTGCTGCAGAAGATCAGGGACTGTAGTCTTCAGTATGAATTGAAGCTCAACATCAAGAAAACAAAGATTCTCACCACTGGGCAATCTGGCAGCAGCATGATAGATGGAAAAGAGATTCATATTGTTGGCAATTTTAGCTTGTTCGGCTCCACAATCAACACTCTTGGCACAAGCAGTCTGGAAATCAAAAGACAATTTGCATTAGGGAAATACGCTGTCAAAGATGTCTCCAGAGTACTGAAGAATAATGTTGTCAGTCTAGAGAATAAAATGTGCCTGATCCAAACCACGGTCTTTGCAATTGCTTGCTATGCACCAGAGAGCTGGATAATGACTAATAATGATAGAAGAAGAATTGATGTCTTTGAGTTGTGGTGCTGGAGAAGAGTATTGAACATAACATGGACTGACAAGAAAACAAAAAAGTCTCGTGGAGAGCATGAAACCAAGCTGCTTCTTGGAGACAAGCGTTTTGAAGCTCCACTTCACATACTATGGGTATGTGACCAGGAGGAAAAAGTCCTTGGAGAAGGACATCATGCTTGGAAAGGTGAAGGGCCAGTGTAAGAAAGAAAGACCTTGGATGAGGTGGATTAACTCAAGAACTGGTGTAATGGGGGTAGATTGTGTCAGAGACAATAAAATTGTCTCCAGATAGAACAAGGTTCAGAGGTATTGTGTATAGGGCTCTATGAATCACAAGAGACTTAACGGCACATAACAACAACGGTATGTCATCTGCAATCATTGCTTCATTTCTTCTATTTTAATAATGATATTTTTCTTATTCGTGTCCAATTTCTCTGTAGAATTTTAGCACAATGCTAAATAGAGGTAGAGAAAGTAGGCATCTTCATTAATCCTGATTTGAGGAGAAAAGCATTCAATCTTTCACCACTGAGCATGTTGGCTGTGAGTATTTAATAATGTCCCTTTATCATAATAAGAAGTTTTCCTTCTATTGCTTGTTTTCTGAATATTTTAACAGGATTATTTACCAAGGGTGTTGAATCTTGACAAATAATTTTCCACACCAGTCCTAATAATCATGTATGGAGATTACCCCCTTCATTCAATTAATATTACCTTTTATATTGATTTTTTTTTTGTAAGTTGAAACATCATTGTATACCTGGGATAAATTTTCCGGAAAGCAGTACATAATCTTTCAACATGCTTGACTCAGTTTGCTAGAATTGTGTTGGGTATTTTTGCATCTATATCACAACCAATATTAGTATATAGTTTTCTTAGGATGTTTTCATCTAGCTTTGGTGTCAAGACAATGCTAATCTCACAGAATGAGTTAGAGGTGGCTTCTCTTCAATTTTTTTCTACCATTTTGAGAAAAATTAGTATTAATTATTCTATAATTGATTGGTGGAAACATCACTGATGCCATCTGTCCTGAGATGATGATGTTGTTGCTACAAAGTTTTTGATTACTGACTTCCCTCTTCTGTCTCTTCACTTCTTATGAATCTCTTGAGATTTCTCATTTCTAGAATTTGTATTTTATGTGTTTCTAGGAATTTGTCCACTTTACCTAGGTTATATTGTTTGTAGGATAAAAGTATTTGTAGCATTCTATTCTTTTTTCTTCCTTTAAGGTACATAGAAATGTTTTCTATTATTAGGAGTTTATTCTTTTCCTTAGACTAGTTAAAGACTTGTCATTTTTTTTTTATCTTTGCAAACAAAATAGTTTTTTGTTTGTTTCATTGATTCTGTATATTGTTTTTCTATTCTCTAGTCTATTTCCACTCTGATAATCTTTTCTTTCTTGTGCTAACTTTGGGTTTGGTGTGTCTGTGTTTTGTTGTTGTTGTTGTTGTTGTTTGAGGTGTAAAATTAAGCTATTGAATTAAGATCTTTCTTTATTTTCAAATATTTAAAGTTATAAATTTCCCCTCGACCTTTTTGCTGAAGTTCTTAAGTTTCAATATGTTATGCCTTTATTCTCCATTGCTTTGAAACATGTTCTAATTGTCCTCATGATTTCTTCTTTGATCCTTTGGTAGCTTAAGATTGATGACTAAATTTAAACAGATTTATTAATTTTTTCAATTTTCCTTTTGGTTTTGACCTCTAGTTTTATTTCATTGTAGTCACAGAAGAAAATTTACATTATCCTCATAAAAAATGTACAAATATTTTTGTGCCTTGATGTATACTCTATTCTGTATAATGGTCCTGTCCCCTTTAGGAAAATGCATATTTCATTGATGTTGAATGAGGTGTTCTGTATGTATCTGTTAAGTCTAGTTTGTTGATAATCTTATGTACAATTATGCAGAATGAAGATTTCCTGTATTTTATATGTGGTAGGATTTTTAGTGAAAGTAAAAAAATTGTAATCTATTTAACATTGGTGATATCTTCATATGTTGTTGTTATATGCCGTTGAGTGGCTTGCAACTCATAGTGACCCCATGTACAACAGCCCTAAATCCTGCTCTATCCTGTGCCAATCGCACTGCCTCTGACACACCTATCCCGATTACCCCAGTCACTGAATCAATCCACCTCATAGAGGGTCTTCCCCTCCTGCACTGTCCCTCCACCTTCCCAAGCATGAAGTCCCTCTCCAAGGACTGGCACCTCCTTGCAACATGTCCAAAGTATGTCAGACAAAGCCCCAGAATACTTGCCTCCAAGGAGCAGCCCAAATTAACCCTCTCCAGGATGAATCTATTTTCTTAGCAGTCCATGGTACCCTCAATGCTTTTTTCCAGCACCACAGCTCAAAAGCAACAATTCTTCTGTCTTCCCTAGTCATTGTCCAACTCTCTGATGCATAGCAAGTGATTACAAAGACCATGGCCTGTATCGGATGCACCTTAGTCTCCAGAGTGACACCATTGCTCTTCAATACTTTGGAGAGGTCCCTAACAGCACATTTTCCCATCTCATAGGTCTTTTAATTTCCTAACTGCTGGTGCCAAGAGTGTTGACTGTGGAGCCAAGCAAACTAAAGTTGTTAACAATCTCAATCTCTTCACCATCCATCCTCATATAGATACCATAAATCTTTCTCTGAGAATTTTTTAAATCGTTTGAAGCATTCAATTACTTACGAACATTAAATTAAAACTCTAATTCTTTCTATGGTAGGAATTATACTTTCATGTCATTTCACAATGTTTTAAGCACTTCAATTTGTAAGTAATTATTTCTGAAAATATGTGTTGGCTTGTTTTTTTAAGATCATAATTTTATGAATATCTTCAAAGTTTCTCAAGAATATTCTCATCATCATATAACAGCATTGTTTAATGTCTTTAACA